TTTTTTTTTCATCAGTTGCTCTGCATTTTTGTTTACTTTACGTCATTTGTTTAGCCCTTGAGATGGCTATTCGAGAAAAAATACAAGTATTGAAAATACAAGCCAATAACAATAATGTCACTGATTGTGAGTATTTATTCCAAAGTGGGAACTCTTTACTCAGTATTTTTCCTTTTAGATGTGGAGATATATATGCAACATTTGGAACCGATTGATTATCATCGTTTAAAATGGGAACCATTAATTCAAAAACTGGTTGAAGCTATGAATGAAACTGAAATAACATTAGTGAATACAGTTCTTTTGCATACTTTTACAAAAATATCTCGTTAATTTTGTTTTTCTAGACATTAATTGATGAAACAGAAAATACAAAGGCACAAGCTTTAGCTTTACAAGGTGCACTGTATGGAAGCGGTTCTGATATAAGTAATAATAAGCGTTTGCTATTTTCTCTTTTTAGTCCCATTTATAATATCTTGTTTTCTACTTTAGATAATGTTTAATAAGAATTTTATTTAATTAAAATTAATCATCCAATTCGTTTTTTATTTTAATTTCTTTTTTACCATGAGTCAGGTGAAAATCATTTTTGCTGTTAGAATTACGTGAGAAATGTGAGTTCAAACAATACATATCTAATTGTCGTAATGTTTTTCTTCTATAAGCATGTGCATCGGCCTGTTGTTACTCCTCCAGCATCAGAATTTGATTTCAATTACATCTTCAGGCACCAGCAAAAAATTTACTGGAGTTCAAAAAGAACAAAACATCTTCGTCTAAAAATCTTATGACGAGATTCCTAAACATGGAAATCCTGACTGTAAAAGCAAATACAGTTCCTAGAAGAATCGGCCGCACATCAAAAGTTCCCTACACAGAATTTCCCTAAATGAAATATATAAATAGCGGATTCTTTAAAAAAGAATTAATTACCAGGGAAACGGCATTCCTCAAAAGTTTGTGTGATGGATTCAGACTTTCATAATGAGAATTCTGCGATTCTTGTCGAAGTCGGATTCAGCTTGTATTTACCATCACAGTTTCCTTTTTTCTCTTCAAATAAAAACGTTCAATTATGTCATGATGTCCATCGTGTGAAATTTATTTTGATAAACATAGCGATTATTTAGATTAAATGTTTAATAAGAATTTTTATTTAATTAATATTAATCGTCAATTAGTTGTTTTATTGAATTAATCTGAATTCGTTTTATTTATTTAATTAAAATTAATAATCAATTTGTTTTTATTTATTTAATTAAAAGTAATAGTTAATTCGTTTTTTATTTAATTGGAAGTAATCACCATATAATAAGAATTCTGCGATTCTTGTCGAAGTCGGATTCAGCTTGTATTTATCATCACAGTTTCCTTTTTTCTCTTCATATAAAAATATTCAATTATGTCATGGTGTTCATCGTGTGAAATTTATTTTGATAAACATAGCGATTATTTCCATCACATAAAAAAATATCATAATCATGATACAAAAATTTCACTTTCTTGTAACATATGTAATGCAACATTCTCAACGATACATTCGTATAAGAATCATGAAAAATATCATGTTAAAATGAATGATGAATCTCATCAAACATTCCATCCACAGTCAGCAAATGCCACGAGCACAACCTGATCGTGAAAAACAACTATCACAGCAAATATTGTATATGTTATTAAACTTACAAATACGACATTATGTATCAGAAGAGTGTATTAAACTTCTTGCAAATGAATTAGGTGACATATTGAACGCAGCTCACGATCCGTTAGTTGTGAGTCATTTAAACGTATTTATCGATTTTTCTCTATCAGTTATCCCTTTTCAGAATTTACAACGATTGTCAACAATGGTAAAAAGTTTTGAAAGTGATCACATTCGTATCAAAAAAGCCAAAGAATATTTTGGTTATATTCAACCGATAACAAAATCTTACGAGGTGTGTACATTTATCAATACGTAACCAACAAGCTTGATCAGTTTTTATCTTTACTTTATCTGTTTAGGTTGTAAGATCTATAAACAATAAAAAAGAAAAAAAACTAGTCAAGTATGCTTATGTACCATATTTACAAAGTTTAGAACAATTTATACAGTTACGGGAAGTTCAACAAGATTTGAAGCGTCAAGGACCTCCTATTGCAAATGTTATGCAAGATGTTATTGATGGGGATATTGCTATTCTTTATCCATAAGTTACACTGTCAAAAAAGAGGTGCATTTTCGAAAAAAAAATGCACCTGAGACACGTTAAAGGTGACTTCATTTTTTGTCAGTAAGATGGAATTTCCATGTAAAAGACGCGCTACGATGCCCTACGAAGGCGGCTGGATTCCAATTTTATGCACGCGTAGTATCTTTGTGAGACATCGTGATTGTTTAGTCAAGGCATTTTGAATATCTTTTCTCGTGTAAATCACGTGCATTTTTGATGCATATAGTAAGACATCCTGATGTCCTTAAGACATTGAGAATGCATTAAATATGCCAGGATGTCTTGTAAAAGTAGGTTACTACGAAAAACATTTTATTTTAACGTGTGACAAAATTAAATAAGCAAGCAACAGATTGTAAATAAAACAGTTAATAAACTAGAAACGGCTCATTGCAGTAGAATAGGATGACAACGTTTATATTAAATCAAATAAAAAACTGATAAACACATCATGGAAAAAAATAATAATATCAAACTAGACCGGTTCAAATATCACATGTGTAATTATGGAAAAAAAATACGAAGAAGGGATACAAACACAGACGGTAAAGCAAAAAAAAAATAAGGCGTGCAGTGCATAAGAAACCGTTTGGACTCACTCTTCAGCTATAGCTCTGTGCAGCTGTATCAGTTTATTATTTGACAATAACGGCGCTGTTCTATCGACGACTAGACGAACCAATAAACTGTAAAACCGTTGGTGCTGCTTGAAATAATCAATGTCCAGGACATAGTGATACGCGATGAAAAGAACCATTGCACTTTGTAATCCATTTCTGCATTCCATATCACACAATTGAGTTCCATGAAAATAAAACTTAATATACATTGTTAACGATTCCATTCGAAATCTTCCATAAAATGCCGGCAACTTTGGCTCGTCCTCGTCTTCCTTCAAAGAAAACCGAAAAATAATGACTAACAGAAGCAAGAGTCATACATAAACACGTACGCTGAGCAAAATACTTTTTTCATCGAGATATGATAAAGTTATGTTCACACAATACAAATCTGTTTCAGATTGCTAAATGAAACGAACATGGTTTTAATTTTATTTCGTTTCTTTTCAGTTATCTCGCACCGGTCGACCAAGTTGAATACCGAAATGAGTTGTTAGTTTCTCTAACGCTTCCCTCATTGTATATACCAGTGTTTCTTCTGAATTTTTTACAATGCTAGTAAAATCATGCACGATCTAAACAAACACTGTATAATGTTTAGTAACCCTCTCGATAACACTTACTGCGACGAAAATTGATCATCTCAACTACTCACCGTTGTTTTATATTTTAATTCAGGGACCAGCATTAAAACCTGTTTAACATTTTTCGTTTTATGAACACTTATAATCAAATTTCGGCGATGATTAAACGTTGTTTTTAGCTGTTGCTCAACTTTTAGCTGATTTGGCTTTCTCTTCCCCAGTTCATTATTTAACGATTTTGAGACACGTGAATAATCTATAATGTAGCAATAATATTTTATAGTGTGTAAACTTATGTACACAGCTAACTATTACCGGCATCGTTCACTGATGGTGAAGCGGATGACTTTGTTTCCATTGGTAGATTCTTTTCGAATTTTTCTTCCCGTGATGGTTTTTTTTCAGATCTGTTAGTGTTTTCATGCTTGACATTGTCATACGTATGTAGTTGCTGTTCACTTATCTTCTTGAGTCGTTTTTTTTCCATTTGCACATGATTTCGCCACTTGTGCGACAGTGCTTTTGTAATAAGACGCTATTAAAAAGAA